AGGCTATCTTTCCTCCAATGAGGGTGGTTGGCTCCTTTGTCAAAGATGAGGTAGCTGAGTATGTCTGGAGTTGTTTCTGCATTTTCTATTTTGTTCCACTGGTCCCTGGGTCTGTTTCTTTGCTGGTACCATGCTGGTTTTTTCACAGTAACTTTTAGTATAGTTTCAAGTTGGGGATTGTGATACCCCTGCCATGTCTCTTGTCGCCTAGAATTGCTTTTGCTATTCTAGGTATCTTCTGGTTCCAAATGAATTTTTGGATTGTTTTCTCTATATCTGCAAAATATACTTTGGGATTTCAGTCAGTATTGCATTGAACCTGTATAGCAGCTTTGGAAGTATGGCCATTTTCACTATATTGGTTCTTCCTACCCAGGAGGAAGGGATGTCTCTCTATTTTCTTATATCCTCTTGAATCTTTTTTTCCAGAGTGTTGTAGTTCTCAATGTAGAGGTCTTTTCCTTCCTTCATTAGATTGATTCCTAGATATTTTATTTTTTGGGTGCTATTGTGAAAGGGATTGATTCCCTAATTTCTCTCTCAGTGAGACTATTACTGGTGCACAAGAAGGCTATTGATTTTTGAGTGTTTATCTTCTATCCAGCTACTCTACTGTATCTGTCAATTAAGTGTAGAAGTTTTTTGGTGGAGTTTTTGGGTCTTCAATGTAGACTACCTTACCATCGGCAAATAACGACAGTTTAACTTCTTCCTTTCCTATCTTTATTCCTTTTATTTCTTTCTTTTGTCTAATTGCATGACTAATGTTTACAAAACTATATTGAACAGGAGTAGTGATAGTGGACATCTTTGTCTTGTTCCTGATTTTAGCGTGAAGGTTTTCAGTTTTTGACCATTTAGTATGATGTTGGCTGTTGGTTTTTCATAAATGGCCTTTATCAAGTTGAGATAAAGACCTTCTATTCCACTTTTCTGCAGAGCTTCTATCATGAATGGGTGTTGAATTTTATTGAATGCCTTTTCTGCCTCTATTGAGGTGATCATATGGTTTTTGTCCTTGACTCTTTTAATATAGTGCATAACATTTATTGATTTGCATATGTTGAACCATCCTTGCATCCCTGGGATAAATCCAACTTGGTCAGGGTGTATGATCTTCTTGATGACCCTCTGTATTCTGTTTGCCAGTATCTTATTGAGGATTTTTGCATCTATGTTCATTAGGGAGATTGGCCTGTAGTTCTCTTTTTGGGTTGGGTCTTTCCCTGGTTTTGGAATGAAAGTAACACTTGCTTCCACCAATGAATTTGGAAGTATTGCTTCCCTTTCAATTTCATTGAAAAGTTTAAACAGTAATGGCAATAGTTCCTCTCTAAATGTCTTGTAGAATTCACCAGTGAAGTCATCAGGACTGGG